TATGATTATGCACACCACAAATACAACATTTCAAACTCGGAACTGTAGGCGTAATTGCTGTGTTACACTTTTTACACGAGGACGGCATCTTTATAGTTTATAATAATTAAATTCTTACGCAAAAAGTCACTAATACGTCACCTTAGAACTGGTTTGCCGCATATCCAGATCGCGTCCGAGGGATTTTCGCCTCTACTGTTTGGTGCAGATTTGCCGCATGTCGCACTTGGGCGAAGCGAAACATGGTTTAGATTCAATGCTGATTTGCCCCATGTCCAAGCAGAAATCGATACAGTACCGTTATCCGTTTTTACGTAGGTACTTCTTTGCTCTTTTGCATTTCAGCGTTAGGTTTGGGGTTGGGAAAGAAATCGTATTCAACTTCACGCGCAGAACAATAAGAATAATGTGAAATAAATAAAAAAGAGACTTAACAATTTTGATGAATCTGAAATTAAAAAAAAGCAACTGTAATTTGTGCAAATCTTTTTCTGTTATAGATGTTACAAATATTTTCAAATTATTAGATTCGAAATTTTACAAATTTAAATTTCAAATGGATTTGTTGCTCGTTAAACAAATAATTTAATTTTTTACTTAACAATAACATTTTTATTTAATGATTTCTCGGGAATGATTGAACTTATTTTCTCTAAAATTTTAGTCAACAAAATTCATAATGCTGCATACCTGTATTCTTCTTTGTGGAAATGATATTTCCACATCAATAATTACAGATAATAATAGATACATTTTTCAGAGATAATTAAGATTAAGATTTCTTAATCAACTTCACGCGCAGAACAAGTAATACGGCAAGGACTAATAATGTGAAATAAATGAAAAATTGAAACGATATTAGAAATCGCGTGGTGAAGTAGTTAACTAAGTATAACGAACAATGAATGTTAAGTTATTGATGTTTTGATTCGATTTTTTCTAAATATTTTTAAAATAAAGAGACTTATTTTTCTTTATTTTTATATAAAATCTACATTTGATAAAACTGATTGCAGTCATTCATTTTACCTAAAAATTGTAGAATCCAAATATTGCATTGTTAATTTCCATTGTTAAATGGTGAATTGTGGACGAAATACGGAGTACCAAATTTAAATGTGTTTTACAGAAAGGAATTATTTTTACAAAGGACAATAAAATGATATTTTCTTTGCATTGGTGGAGTAATGGCGGCTCGTTGACTCGCTGAAGTCCTACTAAAATTGCAGCTTAATATGTAATTTTTTTATATAAAATATTCAAACTAATAAAGAACACTCGGGTAAAAATAGGTTGTTGTCTTAAACAATTAGATTCCAGTATTTTATTACATTACGTGGATATAGACTACAAGTAGCTATTGTCGGGCAACCAGAGAAAATTAGCAGTGATACTATTTAAAACTGTAAATGCAGTATATTTGGATTTGGAAATAAATCATTCGTTTCCATGTCTTATGTATCAGTGACAATTATGTTGACTGCAACCCAAATCTATTTGATTACCCCTAACTCCATAATATCAGTACTTAATATAGTTATACGCTTTTCAGTTGAAAATGAAAGAATTATTTGTACTGGTAGTTGTAAACAATTGTATAAATATTTCCGTTGGATTCCTTTGCGAACTCTTTGTCAATTATTATTTATGATACTATGGTATAATCCCAAACTGTTTAGAGAAGAAAGGGAGGCTGTGGTGTGCGCACGTAAACTTGTCCTATTTCTTTCCAATACATTAGCTCTATATATTAGCTCTCTGTCTATCATCTCCTACGTGCGCTTATCATAGACTCCTTTTATCTAAAAAGTATGCAGTATTTCCCGCGCAAACCAGCAGTCAGATCTCTAGATTGCCTGGCCTCGTGATTTGTCACGTATTTTTAAATAACATACAGTTTTCTAAATTTTCTGAAGTACTACTAAACTACAAAAATAAATAAACGGGTACATTATATTCTCAAATTATAACTCCGAATTAAACATGCAATGTGAAAAGTTAATGCCGTGAACCCTACTAAGTATAAATTAAACGTCATTGTTTGCTAACTACATAATTGATTAAACTTATTACTTTAATAAGGTAAGGTATTAAACTAGACAGAGACTTGAATACTTTTTTTTACTAATTTTAATAATTCTTGTAAATGAGTAGATATTTAATAATAAAGCAATACATATTATTATACGCAAAAAATGTATTTGCATGCTTTTGCATAAACTTCCTGCACTTATAATTTATGAACAGTATTTTGGACGATGCCCAATTATTTGATAAATAATAGTATGTTGATGTAAAAAGAGTATCATTACATTACTTCAAATTCTTTTAACTTCCTTTATGTAGTATATCCTGTTTCTAAATCTCAAAAAATTAGGGTTATGGTAATTCAATTCAATCTGGGTGCTTAGGGTAAAAACTCAATAAACAACAAATGAAAAAGTATGTTATTTTTAAAAATTTATATAACATTTATTGCTGTAAAAGTTGGAGATGACGTTATATGATGGGGAGGATGATTACAAATGTTGGTCAGCGTTTTATCGACCGGAAACGAGAGACCTATGTTTTCGTATTATAGGAGTCATGAAACGTTGAGAAGCCATAAAAGTAGCCAGTCGCCCGATGAACTTGATTACAATACTTCCTTAGCTTACGCTCGAGACATAAAAAAAAATAAACAATAACATTTAGATTTAATAGCTTTTGATATCTGGTATACCTAAACAGTGAGTGAATTTTATGTGGCTATTATTACCATTACATATAACCATCCACTTAAATTAATTGGTAAAAAAATTTACCCATAAATAAGTTATTGTAAAGTTAGTTTTATTTACACGCGTATAATTGCACAACAATAATTGTTAGACAAATAGAATGAAAAAGAAACGCAATGTCATATTAAAAATCAAATTACTCGTTTCGATGTAAAGTACCTTATATAAGTTAACAACATACATCTATTTAGTTATTATAGGTAAAATTCTAATACGGAATTTATTCTTGAAGTAAGTCGTAAATTGTAAATATCTATAAATTCGGAAATAATTCTTTTTAAAAGATACAAGTCAAAAATGTATTAGGCATGATTGTCAAGAAACATTCCAATTCTGTTTCAAATTTGCAAGCATTTTATGTCAAAAGCTGATTTTTGTAAACGTTCCAGTAATAAATTTCAAAGCAAAATCCACCTAAACAGATTTTGCTTCGAAATTTTAATTTTCATATTACTTTTACGTTTTAATTCAAAAAATTAAAAATGTATCTATTATTTGTGATTATTGATGTAAAACTATCGTTTCTACAAATAAGAATACTACAAAAAATTGTGAACTCTTTTACTGGTATGCAACGTTATAAATCTTGTTCACTAAAACTTTAGAGAAAATAAGTTCAATCGTTCCCGAGAAAAAATTAAAGAAAAATGTTACTGTTTAGTAAAAAATTAAATTATTTGTTTATCGAACAACAAATCTATTTGAAATTTAAATTTGTAAAATTTCGAATCTAATATAATTTGAAAATATTTGTAACATCTATAACAGAAAAAGAGTTGCACAAATTACAGTTGCTTTTTTTTAATTTCAGATTCATCAAAATTGTTAAGTCTCTTTTTTATTTATTTCACATTATTCTTATTGTTCTGCGCGTGAAGTTGAATACGATTTCTTTCCCAACCCCAAACCTAACGCTGAAAAGCAAAACAGCAAGGAAGTACGTAAAAACGGATAACGGTACTGTATCGATTTCTGCTTGGACATGGGGCAAATCAGCACTGAATCTAAACTATGTTTCGCTTCGCCCAAGTGCGACATGCGGCAAATCTGCACCAAAGAGTAGAGGCGAAAATCCCTCGGACGCGATCTGGATATGCGGCAAACCAGTTCTAAGGTGACGTTATATAGCCTACATGTAGATACGATAAATGGACTATCCAACACAAAAAGATTTTTTGAATTCGAACCAGTAGTTTCTGAGATTGGCGCGTTCAACCAAACAAACACTTCAGCTTTATAATATAAGTATAGATTGATATTTTGTTGAGGATGAAAATTCATCCAAATTTTCAAACATTTTACTTAATCACCGCAAGTAAATTACTACCAACCTGAAGCAAACCCAGAATGTGATGGCGAACGGCGAGGGTACCCAATTGACACATTTGTAAACTCATTCCACCCAACACAGTACACTAACATAGTTCACAGGCGTACATAAGATTTTTTCTCAGCATACGATAGCCTCTACCCTCCACGTACCACAAACCAGTGCCGCGCCACTGGAACTACCCTGCCACAACCACTTGTACCCCCACCGCTCGCCGTCACATTCTGGGTTTGCAGAGGTACTACATCTCACTAACACCGCTCAGACAGGGATAACGTTATAAGCATGAGAAATACTAACATCTTCAGGTGATCCGCTGCTTTCGAGGCATACCATCTGATAAACCCAAACAAAGCCCTACAGCTAAACCCATGCAATCATCCTCAGAAAGTTGTAAAGTGATCACCCTTTTTGTTCTTTTTTTTTTATTTTTTTTTGTATTCTATATCTATATATTTAAACAATATTAATAATTCACACAATTGTTTCTGTTTCACACAATACTCTGAACTTTGACAAAAATGAGGAATTAAATTATTTTTTCAGAGTAGATACTTAAAAAGTAAAATAAGTTTGTGTTTTGTAATCAATAAATTTCCAAAGAATTCCGAGTATGCTCCTTAACATGAGCTTAAAGCAAGACAAGACACTATATATCGCCGATGTACAAACTTTAGCAACTGAAAGTTTCGCATGGAGATTTTCCTAAAGTAGCTGAAACTTCCACGATATTTGTTTCAGACAGTTGCAGAAGACGGGTCTTTAACAGTAGCGAGTTCAGACAACGTTGACCTCACGGTACGGTCGAAAAGTTTTTGGGTTTCAGTAGGCCGTAACTTAGTCGTGCAGTTGGCACTATTGATTTTGAATTTTTGTTCTCTTTGTTCCAGATTGTGATGTTGAGACTGAGCATGTTGTTGAGCTGCATTTTCATGACAAATACCGCTTTAGACGAGAAACACTTGGCTTCCAACTTTTTATTAGAGAAACGTGAGATTTCCCAAGATTTCGAAAAATATTCCGTCACCTGTTATATCTGCGTCAACGTTTCGGACAATCTTGTTTGCAATCAGTTCGCCATTGACCGACCGTGCAAACCTGGTAAGTTAAAATTGATTGTAAATTTCCGTGTGATGATCATGATGAGGCCCTTTACGCTCGTTGAATTTGGATTTAACGTCGCCGTTGGGTCAACATTGCGCCAATTATTTGCTTCCGTCCCATTTCCACGGGCGTTCGCAAATGTTTCATTTAAAAATCACCTACGGATACAACGGGGATGAAAAAGGGAACGGCGGCGTGGGAGGGCGTCGGGTTTTTGTGTAATTACCTTTTTTTTAATTTTGTTTCGATTTATAACTGCTCGCTTTCGATTAACGTATAAAAAGTTTTGGAAATTTTATGGGGGTGGAGAGCGCTAAACGGGGACGAAGTGTTTTCGGAGCTTCGGGATTAATAACAAAATTTATAAATTTGTATTTTAATTTTTACTGCGACTGTTCGAGTGTTCAGTCACCAAAGTATTAGAAAAAGTTTTCAGAGAAACGGCTACGAAAGTTGTTTACGTTTCGAGTCCCGACAAGCCAGAGGATAAAAGGGAGCTCGGAGAAAAGTCGGGAATTTACGGAACTAATTGAATTCAACTAACACATGACTTAGTTCGGGAATTATAAAAACTATCCAAAGAATAATAAATTTCGAGACGTCTTTCGGAGTTTGGGAATGCTGAAAACAAGGATAGAGTGTTTAATGCAGATGCTGGTCGATTTTCCTTGTCCTCGCCGCATTTGCCGCGACTTTAATCGGTTAAATAAAATTGAAAAGTAGAAATACTCAAGAACTGAAAATCGAAAAATCGAAAGATCACAAAATCGAAAAAATGAAAAATTTGAATTATTAGTCGATTAGTCGATGTTTCAGTTTTTCAATTTTTGGATGTTTGAATTTTTTGATTTCTCGATTTTTCGATATTTCGGCTTTTCAATGATTAGATTTTACGGTTTCTCAGTTCTTCAATGATTCTGTCTTAATTTTTCTAATTTTTAAATGCTAGATTTTTCAATTTTTTTATGTTTCGATTTCCGCATCTTTCGATTTTTCGTCTTCTCAGTTTTTGATTTTTCGGTTTTTTAATTTGCCGATTTTTAACATTTTCGATTTTTCAGTTTTTCAATTTTTCAATTCTTGTCTTTCTCGATTTATCAATATTTTTAAATTTTAATTTTATTCTTTTTAACTTTCGGATTTTTCCATTTCAGGTTATTTTTATTTTCCGATGTTTTTCGACTTCTTGACTTTTTAATTTCTCGATTTCTCGAGTTTTTTCAAGTTTTGAAAGTTTAGATTTTTTGATTTCTCGCGTTTTGGAATTCTTCAATTTACCAATTTTTTATTTTCAAATTTTTTGCATTTTTAAATTTTCAACTTTTCGATTTCCCGATTTTTGGATGTCTCGAATTTTCCATTTCTCGATTTTTCGATGTTTCAGTTTTTCAATTTTTCGATGTTTTGATTTCCCGGTTTTTCAGTTTTTCGACTTTTCGGATTTTCAAGTTTTAGATTTTTCGATTTTTCCTGATTTCAGTTTGGAATTTTTAATTTCCCGGTGTTTCAGTTTCTTAATTTTTCGATTTTCCAATTTTTTGATGTTTTAGTTTTGAAATTTTTTAGTTTTTAAGATCAATTTTTTTCGATTTCTCAATTTTTCGATTTCTGAATCTTCTGATTTTTCAATTTTTTTGATATTTCAATTTCCCGATTTTTCAATTTTTCAGTCCTCAATTTTTCTATATTTTAGATTTTTCAAATTTTTAAATTTTAGATTTGTCGATTTCTTGACTACGATTTTTCAGTTTTTCAACAGTTCAGCTCTAAATTTTCAGTTTTTCTATGTTTCAATTCCCCGATCTTTCGATTTTTCGACTTCTCAGCTTTCGATTTTTCGGTTTTTTAATTTTTCCATTTTAAAATTTTCAGTTTTTCATTTTTTAACTTTCGTATTTTTCCATTTTGGGTTATTTTTATTTTCCGACATTTTTCGACTTCTCGACTTATCAATTTCTCGACTTATCGAGTTTTTCAATTTTTGGATGTTTCGATTTTTTGATTTCTCGCTTTTTTCGATTTTCTTTTTCAATTTTTCACTTTTCCAGTTTTCCAATTTACCAAATTTTCGTCATTTCAGTTTTGGAATTCTTCAATTTATCGATTTTTTAATTTTTAAATTTTTAAATATTTTGTATTTTTTAATTACCAATTTTTCGTTTTTACCTTTTCGATTTCCCGGTTTTTCGCATTTCGAATTTTCCATTTCTCGATTTTTCGACGTTTCAGTTTTTCAATTTTTCGATGTTTTGATTTCACGGTTTATCAGTTTTTCGAGTTTTCGGTTTTTGAAGGTTCAGATTTTTCGATTTTTCCTGATTTCAATTTGGAATTTTTTAATTTTCCGGTGTTTCAGTTTCTTAAGTTTTCGATTTTCCAATTTTTAGATTTCCGAATTTGTTTTTGTTTTGAAGTTTTTCAGTTTTTAAGTTCTTCAATCTTTTTAGATTTTCTAATTTTTCGATATTTTGACTTTTCAATTCCTCAATTTTTCGATTTCTGGATCTTTTTCGCGTCTCGAATTTTCCATTTCTCGATTGTTTGATGTTTCAGTTTTTGAATTTTTCGATATTTTGATTTCGCGCTTTTCAGTATTTCGACTTTTCGGCTTTTCAAATTTTAGGTTTCAGTTTCTTGATTTTTCGATTTTCCAATTGTTAGATTTCCCAATTTTTTGATGTTTTAGTTTTGGAATTTTTCAGTTTATAAGTTCTTCAATTTTTTTCGATTTTCCAATTTCTCGATATTTCGACTTTAGATTTCTGGATCTTCTGATTTTTTGACTTTTTGATAGCTCAATTTCCGAATTTTTCAATTTTTCTATATTGTAATTTTTAAATTTTTTTTGTTTTAGATGTTTCGGTTTCCCAATTTCTTCATTTTTCTAATTTTTAAATGTCAGATTTTTCAGTTTTTTTGTTTCGATTTTTCGACTTCTGAATTCTTGATTTTTCGGTTTTTAATTTTTGGATTTTTAATAAGTATTTCGATTTTTAGTTTTTCAACTTTTCAATTTTTGTCTTTTTCTATTTGTCGATATTTTTTAGATTTTAAATTTTTCTTTGTTTTTTCTTTTTGATTTTGGTTATAATTTTCAATTTTCCATTTTTTAACTTTCGGATTTTTCCATTTTGGGTTATTTTTATTTTTCGACTTGCCGACTTTTCAATTTCTCAATTTCTCGAGTTTTTCAATTTTTGGATGTTTCGATTTTTTGATTTCTGGCTTTTTACTATTTTTCGATTTTCGGCTTTTCAATTTTTCACTTTTCCAGTTTTCCAATTTCCCAATTTTTCGTCATTTCAGTTTTGGAATTCTTCAATTTGTCGATGTTTCTATTTTTAAATTTTTAAATTTTTTGTATTTTTTAATTTTCAATTTCTCGATTTTTCGATTTTTCCATTTTTCGATTTTTTTAAATTTTTGGTTTTGTTCAGTTTTTTAGTCTAAAATTTTCAATTTTTAACTTTTGAATTTTTCGATTTTAGGGTAGTTCTGTTTTTCGATATTTTGCGACTTCTCGACTTTTCAATTTCTCGATTTCTCGACGTTTCAGTTTTTCAATTTTTGGATGTTTCGATTTTTTGGTTACTCGCTTTCGATTTTTCAATGTTAGGCTTCAAAAAATTTGAAAATCTAAAATTTAGATACCGAAGAACGAAAAATCTAAAAATCAAAAAATTTAAAAATTCGAAAAATTGAAAAATTGAGAAATAGAAAAGTCATGAAGTCGAAAAATCGAAAAATTGAGAAACCTCAAAAATCGAAAAATTTAAGAACTGGAAAATCGAAACAGTGGAAAATCAAGAAATGGGAAAACCAGAACATCGATTAAAAGAAAAATAGAAAAATTGGGAATTTAGAAAAGTCAAAAATTGAAAAATCAAAAAATCGAAATATTTAAAAACCGTAAAATTGAAGAGGAGAAACATTGAAAACACGTAAAACTGAAACATCGGAAAATTCAAAAATAGAAAAGATGAAACACTGAAAGATTGGAAAATACAATCGAAAAGTCGTAAAATCGAAGTTTCAAAAAATTGGAAAATCGAGAAATCGGGAAATTAAGAATTGGAAAACGCGAGAAATCAAAAAACCGAAATATTGAAAAATAAAAAAATTGTGAAATAGAAAAATCGAGAAATCGGGAAATCGAAAAATGGGAAAATTGATAAAATGGAAAAGTTGAGAAACTGAAAATCGAGAAATTGGATAGATATATAACAGGAAAATTGAAAAATCTAACAAATGAAGCGAAAAAATAAAAAATGAGAATCTGAAAAATCGAAATAAAAAACAGAGAAATCGGGAAATCAATATACCGAAAAATGAAAACTCGAACTATTGGAAAATTAAAAAATTCTAGAGTTGAAAAATCGAAAAATTGAGATATTGCAAAATTGAAATTTCAAAAAATTAAGAAATTGAAAAGTCGGAAAATCAAGAAATGGAAAAATCTAAACGAAAAATCGGAGAATCCAGTAATTGGGAAATCCAAGAATATAAAAATAGAAAAATTGGAAATTCGAGAAATCAAAAAATGGGAAAATTGTAAAGTGGGAAAGTTGAGAAATTGAAAATTGAGATATTGAAAAATCGAGTAATCAAGTAAATCTAGCATCAAAAAAGTGAAAAATCGAATAAACAAGAAATAGAAAAATCTAAATGAAAAATCGGAAACTCGAGTAATCGGAAGATCCAAAAATACAAAAATTGAAAAACTGGAAGATGGGAAAATTGAACAGAAAAATTAAAAATCTGAGAAATTGAAAAATCAAAATACTGAAAAGTCGTGAAATCGAAGTTTCAAAAAATTGGTAAATCGAGAAATCGGGAAACTAAGAAATGGAAAATTCGAGAAGTCAAAAAACCAAAAAATTAAAAATTCGAAAAATCGAAAAATTGTGAAATCGAAAAATCGAGAAATTGAAAAATTTAAATGGAAAATCAGAAAATCGAGAAATCGGGAAATCGAAAAATGGTAAAATTGATATAAT